GCTGCATTGTCCGCGCGGGACCCTTCCACTTTCGGCGACACATAGTCCTCTACACGGAACAAATGCAAACTTTTGTGCTGGGGCCCGCATGCCACGTGAAGACGGGCCATCTAAATACTAAGTAAGTTGACTAGTTGACTTAGGATACCATTTGATGGGGCGAAGCAGATACAAAATGGCCATCAAATTTTGCTCAAGTAGTAATCGGAAAATTTAGAGAAAATCAAAGGCACTGAGTCAGATTTCCTTCCAGAAATTCCTTGCGGGTCTCTAAATTGGTCATTGTACAGACATATAGTGGTGGCCGAAAATGCACTTGCTGAATTTTTTCGGATCTCAAAATCAAGAAATAAAAATAGCCCGAGATTACAAATGTCACTTTTTTCGGTTCTGATAATCGGAAGGTTTGTATGTCAAACCTTCCAACTATCAGAATGTACATCCTAGCACAAGTAAAATTTTAAGGTTATACTTACTGAGGCTTGTAGTATACGATGACGTATGTGGGAGGGGCGGAAGCTTGCTGTTTTTGGACTGTTTATTTTTGTCCTTTCCGTGCGCGGAAAAAATCCAGTAAGGACATATTTGAGCACTACTGTGTGTTAACTGTATAATAACCAAGTTGGAGCTTTGCAGAAATTTTTTCTCAAAGAACCAGTTTTCAGGTGAAACAAGTTTTCCGATTTTGGCTCCAATTTATCTCGACTGCGATTAGACAAGTTTGGTGGCATGTAGAACTTGCTTCGCTCTATTGCATAAATTCTTAAGTTTGCTAGAAAAACAAACTTGATTTATCTAGAAAAGGAGTTTACTATTGGGACAGCTCAATGCTATTATGAAGGAAAATCATTACATGTCAAGGAAATACTTACAGTGCTAAATTTAATTTCTATAATAAAAAAAATTTTGCTGCCAAAATGAGCACAGTATGCAGAAATTTTGATTTAAACGGTATTCGGTAATCTCAGCGTAGTTTTCAATGCCTTTTATGATTGCGATCATGTTTAGGTTTCGCTAGAAACTAGCATCTTAATAAACCTCTTGAAAATAGTCAAACATCATTGAAGTGAACAGTCGAAATCTGTTGCATTCGAAAATGCAGGTTTGCACAGCTTGCCCTATCGAAAAACAGCTTTTTTCTACAGATAATAATCACGGTGAGAACACTTCTCCCTGACTTCTAATCAGTGCCTCTTCCAGACAGCCCACCTCGGGGGCCCAGCTGGTGATCTCACAAGACTCTTTGGTTCATGCTTAAGTGGAAAGGATAGACGAGAGCATTGGAAAGAACTTCTCGAATCATTCTATGGTTATTTGCAGGAGGAAGTTGGTGGAAACGAGATGCCATACACTCTAGAACAGGTAATTTGGGTCGCCTGTAGTTGAAGAACATACTTATGTCAAAGACCAACTCTCCGCACTTCAAAGTATTCCTTATTACAGCTGAAGGAATCATACCGCCGATTCTTACCATTTGGTGGCTTTTTGGTCTTACCTATGTTTGGTGCTTTACTAGAAATGGTGGTCAAAAGTCCTAATGAGGAGTTTAAAAATCAGGTGGGTCAGCACGATGAGGTTGGAACATAAGCATTGCACCATATTAGGCACAATCGCGATAATTAATTTTTTCCTATATCTTAAGACGTCCTG